TAATCTTATGCAAGGTTGTTTTAAATGTTTACTTGATTCCTGTTAATGACTGTGAAGTAATTAAACTGATTTTTTTCTACCTGTACACATAGACATTATTTCAGCATGAATTCTAAAATTCACTTAATGCATTGTTGTTTTTCTGTATTTATTATGAGTAGACAAAAAGAAACTGCATTAATTAGAATGACTTTATAGCATAAAATTTAGGTGCGTGTTCCAACAGCTAATGGCAGTAGAAAAGTATTTTTGTGATTTGTGTCCTCTAGAAGCTATGATATGTTGTATTTTTGAATGTGTTAGTTATCCAGACTTAAAGATGGCAAACTAAGGCTCTTTTTTTTGCTTTCCCTTAGGCTTGACACCCAGCATGCCCACCTTGCCTTGCCGTACTATAAAATGTCTGGCTTGTCCATGGCTGAAGTTTTGGCCCAAGTGGATTGGGCAGCAGAGGATGGATCACAGAAATACGAGAGGGGGTTAATCTTTTATATTAATCATTCACTTCACGAAAACCTGGATGAAGACTTAAGTGAAGTGAATATAGTTTTCTATTTAGTAATATCTAGTGTAATCAACTTTTCATTTTAGTAATTTATATGATCGTATCTAAAGGCAAATTCCAAATATCTTTTTTTCTAAGAAAGTAACGGATGTACCCTTTTCTTCATTTATAATGATAGAATTATAACTTGGAAAAAAACCTAGAGATCACGTGCTCACATTTTTTCATCATACGACAGGGAAGTGTGGTCTGTTGTAGTTTTGTGACCTGCCCTGTGTGACAAGAGTACGTCTTTAGAACAGCGACAAAGAGTGTGGGCCTGCCTTCTTCTCATCTAGGCCCATCCCATGACCCTCGTTGCTCCATTCTCCAAGCTTCGTATCTAAGGTTCGCTTATGAAACCCTGACCCAGTGACCTTGGATGTTATTAAGGATCATTTTTAGCACCTCGAGTAGTTATAAAAATAGTTGAATGCAAATTTGCCAAGTGGAAGTTGCAATACCAAATGTTTTATGGTTTGAAGAGATGAAATTTTCTCATATAAATGATCTTGTTAGATATATTTTTTACTAAGTTGTAATTTTATATAATGGACTTTTAAGTGTAATTTAAACAAGCGTTTTTCTTTTTCTGAGCTCCAGTTAAAACTGGAAATGCCAGCCACAACCCAGTACACATTTTCACTGTTTTTTCTTCATTAGAATGCAGCAAAGCGATCACTTAAGGTCGTCTCAGGTCTCCCAGGTGTCACCATCACACTATCTTTTTTAATCAAAACATAATATTATATGT